GGGGTGCCTAGATACCTCTTCTAAGTTTCACAACAGTTCTGGTAATGTGACTTCTTTGTTCAATACTGTACATATATACAGTATATATCCGTGTCAATGTAAATGTGTCTCCAGCGATTATTAGTCTCAAAGTGGGTTCCTCGTCATCGAGCTAAGACTATGTTTCTAACCCCAACACTGACAGGGTTTATAAAAGTTTTGAGATGGCTTGAGTGGGTAATGAAAAATATTTATAATAAATGTCATCCATTTATAATAAAGGTTTATCATTACCCAGTTAAGCCATCTTAAAACTTTTATTTTCTTAAAAATGGGTTTCTCATTATCGAGTTTTAATTCATCACTAATGCTAACAAGGTTTGGCTTTGAAATGAGTTCAACTTCAACCAGTTCAAGTGTGATGGATGCAGTAAATTTTTCATAAGTAATTCCATGATAAAAGCTAATTTTGAGTTTTGTTTTTATATACTAAACCTTATTATTGAAATATTAAGGTCTTGGTGGTTGTGAAGAGCAAGCTCCTATTTTACAAAATGATTTAGATTGTTTGGTGAGTTGGAGTAATAAATTATTGTTACAGGTTTATGATGATTTTAATTAGACCATTTTATTAAATGTTTGAAAATTAGCATTTTTGGTACCGTATGTGCCGTTTTGTTTCGTGTTATCAAATTAACAGCAGTAGTTGTCACTAGGTGACTGACAGTGACACATTACAATAGGAAAGATTAAAATGAGTCAAAAATTGAAGCTGATTATAATGTATACATGCAAAAAATTTTTTATCATTATAAGTCACTGGTTTCTGAAAATCTGTTTTAACCAAATAATAACATGAAATAAACCACTTTTTTCATTATTTATTCAGTGTTTTCATGGATGCTAAAACAAATGTGACCCAAACTCATATGATTGCAAGCTGCATCAGAAAATATCAAATATTTAGAAAAAATTTCCTTGGACATTTGTAATCAATAATTGTGCACTGCAAATTAAAAATAATAACACTAACTACTAATCACCATAGAGCAAGTATCACATAACAATGATGAATCTTGCAGGAAACATACTTTCAATAGCAAGCACCCATAGTTGGTGATTTACTGCCCAGTGTAATTTCTACTACTTTAAATGTGTTTACATACCTTTAGCAATCTTTACAGTTAAGAAAAATAAAGTCATTTGTAAAACACAAGAAGCATGAAAGTTTTTTCCTTGTTCTTCTTTCTTCTCTCTCTTGACTGTGATCTTTCTTTATGTTTTTTGTGCCCCATAACTTTAAATAGACTAAAAATACAAAGAGAAGCACATGTTATTACACGATAGGTGAAAAAGCTACAAACAATACATTCTCACAGGAATAGGTAAGTTATAAAAAATTACTTGTACTGGACTATATCTGCACTGTTAGAATGGCAGAAACATTTCCAAGACAATTTTCAATGCATTAAAAAATTTGTATTAGGAATCTGTTTTAAAGCAATTCAGATGTATTTATATAAATATTTATGGTAAGAGAAATGGTGAATTCAAAATATACCACTTTTACTGAAGAATTAGAAAATAAAGTCTCAAAACCAGGTTAGACATGTATGGTTATAGGTATAAGATTTAAACTAGGCCCAGTAGCATTAAGATTCAGAAATGCTACTCAACTCTCTGCACCAAAAAGAGCTATTACCTTGTGTGCACTGATATGTAAATTTTTGCACATGTTTTAAGCCTTGAACAAAGCTCCCACCCAAAGATATTGTTTAAACACCTACTTTTATTCATTGTTCCCTCTTCCAGATGTGGATCACGTAGTTCCACTTTCATCCTTCATTGCTTTCATTCTACAGGTGTCTTTTGTCTTTCTCTTACTCCAGTAATGTTATGCTGAATCTTGGGACTCCCTTGTTGCATGAATCTCTTTCAGTTGAATCTTTCATTCAGTTTAGGGTTCTCCTCTTACTCATTACATTTTCTTTCTCCCAATCTGCTCATCTTCATCTCCTACTCATCTTGTTTATTCATTCTCATGCCTCAACTTCATTTGATGAGTTTCCATCATGATCCTATCAACTTTACTGGAACAACTTACACATACCAGATTTCCACCTTGCCCTTGGTTTTTTCCACTTTGCTCCAGTTACCTTTGTTTCTGGGGTGTACTTTGTCAGGTTATCTTACTTTCTGACTTTTACCTTCCTCAAGCTTCTCTCCAGGACCTCTTTCTTGCACCTTTTCTTTGTGATGGAATTTTTTTGGGAGTTATTTTATTTACACTGGAATCTTGATATAATGCACCTCTTTTGCAGTTATCTCTTGTCACTTTGGTGTCTTGCCCTTGGAATCAGTGAGCCCCAACAGCTTTTTTATCATAAATGCACTCATGGAGTTACTCCCTTTCTATTGAGCATAGCACAAGTGGTACTTTGACCACACCTTTCTACTATCTCTGTTCAGATCTGGATTGGAGTTTTAAATGGGGTACCTTAGGGCTGTGTGCTGAGACTCTTACTATTTTTTATATACATTAACAGGATTGATAAGGGGAGTGATCAATAAATTGATCATTTTTCCTGATGATATTAAAGCTTTATGTGTAGTTGTTTGTGAGGAGGATGCTGTTGTTGTACAAAGGGATTTGGATAATTTGGTATACTGGACAAATAAATGGCAAATGACATTTAATTATGCTAAGTGCAAAGTAATACAAATGATCTATCTTAATTTAAACTATTCTACAATGGAAGAAAAGGATCTTGGAGCTTTACAGTTTCTAAAGCTCTCCAGGCAGTGTTTCGTTGCCAGTAAGGAAGCAAGTAGGATTTTGGGTTGTATCTATAGGAAATGTAATACAAGTCAAAGGAGGTTATCATTTCTTTGTAAAGATTTCTAGTTAGACTGCACTTAGAGTATTGTATTCACTTTTGAGCTTCTTATTTTAAAAAGGAAATTAAATTGTTGAAAATGGTTTAAAGGAGGGCTACTAGTATGATTTCTGGGATGAAGAAGCTGCTATATGAGGACAAGTTAAGGTCCTTAAAATTATTATTTTGAGAAAAGGTGTAATTGAAGTTTTCAAAATTATAAAGAGAAAAAAATAGGATTGATGAATAATATTTTTTTTCATGTTTAATGGTAAGAGTAGTAGGACTAGGTGACATAGATTTAAGATTTGGTAGAGTAGAAGTCACTTGCAAGTTGGGCAATTCTATTTTCAAACTATGGACTAGATTGCTTTCAGGCATAGTAAATGCAACATGATTGGTAGAATTCAAGAGAGGGCTTGATGAGCACTTGGGAAGTTAGGGATGGATATAGGCAGATGGGTGTTTGATGAAATTACTGTGACAGCTTCAAGGGGTCCCTTGTTATCCATCAAATGTTATATATGATGTTTTAATTATGGTACAGGCTAGTGGGAATATAATATGGATCTCTTACACATGTCACAAAATTTTGTGTTAAAATTTAATTAAACAGCTGAAATATTTAGAAATGAATTTCCAGTCTTCACTTTTGTTAACATGTAGTGTGCAAGAGCTCTCAATCCTTCCTCTTTTAGTTGGTATAACTTCAGTAGTATAGCATCTATACCATTTAAGTAATGTAAACACGATCTATAAGCAATGATAAGGTAAAATGTCCAGTTTGCAGTGTCCTAACTTCTCCATTTGCTGAGATATCAATACATTTTCCCAATCCACAACAGAATCCCTGTCCATCTTTCCTTAATTTTCAAAGCAGTTTTAAGAACCATGTGACCTTATTTGACATTCATGCTTATATTGCAACTGTCCTTTTGAATTTGGCAGTTGTAGATGTTAGTCCAGAGAAAGTGACTGATGTGTGTGTGTGTGTAAGAATTTCTGTCCTTTTGAATTTGGCAGTTGTAGATGTTAGTCCAGAGAAAGTGACTGATGTGTGTGTGTGTAAGAATTTCCGATACAGTACTTCCCTCCACTCACAAGATTAGCTTTTCCTCTTTTATGCTGCCCTCTATATTCAAAGTTTTTTATAATGCATGCCATAAGCCTTCTGCACTCCCTATTGGAATCAAGGATTCCAACATGTCTCTCATGCATCATCTCTCTCCACCAATAGGAGAGCAATACTATCATGTGATGCATGTGACTCCCTCTATGCGGCACTACCAAACCATCACTTCTCGTTTCGCAGTGCTTGACTTCAGATGCCTTTCTTTTTGCTCATTACCTCTCAAAGTGGGTTAACTTAATTTAATTTACATTATTTCAAGAATGTTTTTCCCTATATTTTTGAAAGCATTTGATTTACCTGTGTTTTGCCACAAATGTTTTGCTTGTTTGTTTGATATGAAGCATGAATTCTGAAGCTAAAGTTACCACTTTGGTGGATTTATTGGCCTTTATTCACAGGGAGATTGAGAATTATATGAGACAACTTTTGTCTCCTGTTGTTGCCCCTCTTCCTCCTGAGCCTTTCGACCCTCACCAGGCTGACGAGGATTTTGATTGTCCCCCCCTCCCCCCATCTCCCCGGAGTTTGCCGTACCTTTCCAAACTCTACCTGAGGATTCTGTTTGCCCTCATCAACTTTCTCAGATTTTATTTCTTGGGTATGTGATGTTTGCTCTATTGCTTCTATTTCTTATGACCCACATTCTGTCCTATTACATGATTCTGCCTCCCAATCTTATTTAGTTTTTCCCACATCCCCTGATAGAAAAAGCTAGACCTAGTTGAGAACATGTAAGCATGCACATTTTCAAGATGCTCAGTATGAAAATTTGCTAATGTGTTACCATTGTGATGTGTTGCTTTTTAGGTAAACAGTTGAAACTGTAGAAAAAAACAAGTTAAAATATCTGAAAAATGACATTTGCAAAGAAAAAGAAAAATATGTATTATTCATTTTATTTCATTATCTTAAATATTTCATTCTACTTTAAATTGATGATTTAGCTACAATTAATGTTAACATAGATAAAATAACAGATAAAATATAAAGGTTTACATTAAAAAATTTATTATTCATTTAGGAGGTTTTAGAGGTTATATAAATGAAATATGAAAATTATAAGATCAAAAAGGTATTTTTATCTTTAGCTTGAAAAATTAGCTTTTGCTAGGACTGAGTATGTAAAGGCTTCAAATATTTACTGTAAATAATTTATTAAATATTCTGGTGTTTGTGTAGAACAGACTTGTAATGTTTAGTAAAAGCTTTCCAAAATTTGTGAAGATACACTTCTTACATTCAGTTATAGTTTCCTGGTTACATGGTGGTTACAGGGTCATTCAAAATGACCAACCCTTGTGCATAGACTTAAATCATGTAATAATGTGAGTTTTAAAACATAATTTACTTTACAGGTATAGCATTTTAAGATTTATTTACTGGTTGAGTCTTTTTCAAGTAACTTCATTTAGAAGAATTGTCATTTCACCATTCAGGACAAAAGAAAATGTTCAAAAATTCATGGTCATAAGTTGTTTTTCTCCAGAACTGATTCTTTATTTGTGTAAGATGAGGGTATTAATAAACTTTTAAAATATACTAATTACTTATTAGATGGTGTTTTTCTGTTATAATAGTATGGCAGAGATTTTTTAATATGCTGCAAAGTGGCCTTGTTTATTTGTAATCCATTTTTTGAACGGTAAGTTTGAATTTGGCTCACAGAAGTTGGAAAAGTATTATGTATTGGCACAGACTAGATGCTTTTAATTATTCCTAGAATCATAGTACTTAGCCTGTACCACAAGAATATTCTCCCTAGTATTACTCCACCTTCCTCAGTATATACTTATGGAAGAACACAAATAGGGTCAAGATCCTCATGTGGTTCTCTCTCCATACTCTACTGTGAGAACAGGAAAGAGTGAGACATGACTTCATGTGCTTTCATCCATTCATTTTCCATAGTGCTTTCCTGATTGCTTCTAAAATTAATGGTTTTCAGAGTGGTTGTTGGCTAACAAATAGTAGTTTTTTGTAAATTGTTGTTGAAGATAGTTGATTCAAATCACTTTTGAAGGAAATGGTCAATTTAGAAACTGATATGTGATGCACTTTACAAGCTTATCAAATTGCCTTTTGTTCTTTGGATGATTATTAACTCTGGATGGCTACAGCTTTTCCCCAGTGGTGATCATATTCTTATTTTGATTGCCCTCTTCACAGACATGAGGAGATATGTTTTTGAACAGATGGTCAAAGAAATGTTTATGTTACCTACATTCCTATGATATTGGCTTACTATCATACTTTTTCTTGTGTTTTGACATGCTAACTTTGAGCTGTTGTCTTCTAGACTATCTGTTATATAATTATCTCATTATGGGGTACTATTAAAGTCAGTTTATACTTGATAGAGTATAGGTTGAAACTCCAAGCTGATGCCAGTATACAAATAATGGATAATGGTTACTCCTAACATTCAAAAATTAATTCTTAAATAGATCTTATATTCGTATGCTCACAAGATCAGAGTGTTTTAAAAGTATTTTCAGTAGTTATTTTATTGGATAAATAAATCTATGGGCTCAATTATTTTTCCTTTGTTTCCTCTTTGCCAGATGAGTTAAAATTTACAAATGGGCATGGACAACATATGATCATTAATACATGTTACGTATTACAATTTATCCCAGACAAGCCTCCAATTTGTTATATAACGTCGCGTATTACGATTTCGAATAGCTTGAAACTGAGTTAAATGATAATTTAGATTTAGAAATTAAATAAATGTTGATATGTATCCAATTTATGATACTTACCAACAAGAATGATACACACAGTTGTTTTTTAATACAAATATATTTTAATATACAAACAGTAACACAATTTACAATAACAGTTTTATAAATGATGATCTCTTTACAAAAATTTTACAAACTGACAA